TGTCATAAGTACAGGTTAGGGGACAAGTGGCTGGAAAGCAGCACTTGTGAAAGGGACCTCGGGGTGCTGGTTGACTGCAGGCTAAACATGAGTCAGCAGTGTGATGCAGTGCTCAATAGGGCAAATGTCACCCTTGGTTGCATAGCCAGAAGTGTGGCTTCTAGATCGAGAGAGGTATTACTACCACTCTATACGACTCTGGTGTGGCCACAACTGGAGTATTGTGCTCAGTTTTGGGCCCCTCATTACAGAAAGGATATAGCCAGGTTGGAGTCAGTGCAGCGTAGGGCCACAAGGTTGGTGGCCGGTTTGCAGGGGATGCCGTAAGAGGCGAGACTGAGGGAGATGGGTCTCTTCAGCCTGGAGAAGAGGGGACTCAGAGGGGATCTGTTGGTGACATACAGGTATGTGAGGGGGTGTCACATGGAGGTGGGTAGAGACCTGTTCTCCCCTGCAGAGGAAGGCAGGACGTGCTCCAACAGAGCAAAGCTCAGGGAACCAAGGTTCAATTTGGATGTCAGGAAGCAGGAGGTTGTTGAGGCCCCATTGGTGAGGGTGTTCAAAGATAGGCTGGACATGCACATGGTGGGCATGTCGTGAGCGGAGCCGGCTGGAGCCGGAGGTCAGACTAGATGGCCCGGGAGGCCCCTTCTGACTCGCTCTGTTTCTATGTTTCTAATTTAAAAAATAGTAATGTGAACTGACCAGTTTCTATACTATACAAGTTGGACTCTGCTACATTTCATAAAGTACAAGTACAAAATTAGATGGCCATAAAGTAGGCACAAAAACCTGCTAAATATATTTGTTTTTAACACCTTCTTGATTATTAGCAGCATTCTCTTTTCCTTTTCGGTGAGGCTGGTAACTGCAGAAGCTCCTTTTTTAACTGGTCTTCATGGATTTTCATCAACCTTACATTATAAAATGGAAATAAAATGTTTACTTTTTGCAGAAAATTTCAATTTTAAATATTTCATTTTAAAATAGCAGCTCTCTCAAACACACATTCAGTCCAAGACTATCCTTTAAAACAATTTAGCCAAATCATGGAAGGGTAGCTTCACCTTTTATAACAATCTTGTGCAAAACGAATTTCTGCACAGGAATCTAATGCATGCTCTATGTATCAGATGGCATATAAAGGATATACTCTTTTTTGTGCTTGAGAAATTCATTCCCTCCTCAAGATGTATTATCTGTAGCTATTGTAATTACTGTGTGGAAGGCAGTTGCTTGAGTGTTCTGGTTTATTGCTGTGATGACTTTCATAATAAGGCAAAACTAATGGTATCTGTTGTTTGTGTTTGCGGCACACAGAACAGTTCCAATGACTGCCTCATGTATGCACCTTCTTTGATCATGTGGAAAGTAGCCTAGTTAAACTTGTGACTGTCCACTCAAAACATATAGCTAGGACATAAACCATCACATTTCAGAGCCAGTTTTCAGTAAAACTTCACTGAACATCCACTATCTGATGAAAATGAGAATCGCCATTGCTATAGGGTTGTTTTGTTTTGTTTGTTTTGTGACATTTATTTTTTTATTCCTGACATAGTTGTGATATAAATTCATATATCTAATCTTATATCTCCCATTCTACAAGATGGTATATTGATGTCCACAGCTGGGACCAGTTGCTCACCTGGCTAATTTCACCATGGATTCAGTCACGTTGTGACCGGAAGCAGCACTGCACTCATAAAATGGGAGTCCATGCTCCTAGCACAAAACATGAGAGACCACAATGACATAAACCAGGCATATCTTTGATAAACTTTGGGAACTTCTGTTGCTATACTCAGCCATGGAAACAATTTTCAAGTGCTGATCTGGAAGCTGCAAATATACACACTGAACTGCATTATCCAACATCTCTATTCTTGTTTTAGAGAAGGACTACAGCAGGGGGATTTTGCCTTCTGTGGGTTATTCATCACCAAAAGACATTCAAGTGGTCTCATTAACAACAAATATTTTGAATGCAAATCAAGACTTTCCAATGAATCCTTGAAGGCGGAGAAGAAATTTAGAAAATGTAATCACTGATTTATTCTTAGAACTAGCATAAAATGAATTTTCTCATCCCATATTAGTCCAAGTCTCATGTATTTCAGTAGGTGTGCTCTAAGTAGTGCTAATACTGGATACAGTCCAGTATATTCAAGACTGCAATTTCCCAGTGGTATTTCTATTTCATTGCTATTTATGCAGGGGCAGCCACCTCTACTCATAAATTTGCCGATTTCAATCAAGATTGCATGTATATGGCAACAACTTTGCTGAGTGCAGAAGTTTTAGTATTTCTCTGCCCTTGACCCAAATGTAAATTGCTAGAATCCCTTTTCCTATACTGCCTTCTCTCTTCTTTTGACTTTAAGTACCTATCCTGGGCTACATCAGAGGGAAGCTGCCACAACTCGTTCTAACTGAAGTTTGGTGAGTTAAAACCTGGTATAAGTAAGACAGTGATGTAAAGAAAGGACAATTTAAATGAAAAGAAAGGAGGCACCAATCATCAACATAGCAGGCAATGTACAGATGCTTGCAGAAATCTTCACACCTCCTTTGACTTTCCCCAACTTTGTTTTGCTACAAACTAGAAATGAAATAGATTTAATTGGCTTTGTTGCTACTTAATGTACACAAGGTAAACAACACCATGAAGGTGCAAAATATTTTTACTGTGGCACAAAAGTTAAGTAAACAAACACTAGCACTTCCCCCTTGCTATGGCATGCCTAAATAAGTTTGAGTCCAGCTCACAGCTTCCAGAAGTCACATACTGCAATGTAAATTGTTGAATGGAATCTACTTGTGTGTAATTCCATTGCCACGTGACCTCAGATTAAATACCCTTTTTTCTGAAAGGCACCAGATTTTATTGGAGAACATATCTGGACAAACGGAATCATGAAGACCAAGAACATTTTCAATTGTTACTGTTGTTAGAAACATAGAATGAGTCAGAAGGGGCCTCCTGGGCCATCTAGTCTGACCCCCAAAACAACTCAGGTATAAAGTTGTGCATAGCACTAATCAAGGGAAGGTTATTTTTTAAAATCTCAAACAATGAACATCCCCCAGAGCACTGTTAAATCCATTATTATAAAATGGAAAGAATATGTCTCAACCATGACTCTTCCTACAGAAGGCCACCACCAAAACTCAGTGACCAGTTAAGGGGGGGAATAGTGAGAAAAGCAACCCAGTGGCCGATGGTAACTCTGAAGGAGCTGGAGAATTCTGCTGTTGAGATGGAGGTGGCGCGGGGGGTGGGGGGGATCCATGGGACAACTTTCCTGCAGATACTCCACCAAGCTGGCTTTGTAGAAGAATGTCAAAAAGAAAGCAGTTGCTGAAACAAACCCATAACAAAGCCCATATGTAATTTGTAGAAAGGCATGCGAGAGACACAGCAAATATGGGGGAAATTTCTGTGGTCTAATGAAACCAACACTGAACGTCTTGGCCTTACTGAAAAACACTATGCGTTTGCACGATGTCAGCAGAACTGGAGAAGTTTTACCAGGAATAATGGACAAACATTCAAGGATCCAGAACTGCAAAGCATATAGAGAATTAATCAAGTAGACTCACAGCTGTAATTACTGCAAAAGGTGCTTCTACCAAGTATTGATTCAGGGGCATGGATACTTATACAACCATCAAGTTCCATTTTGTTTTTGCTTACTTAACCTTGAGCCACAATCAAAATATTTTCCACCTTCACAGGCTTGAGTATCATCTGTACATCAAGTAGTAATGGTGCCAATTAAATCCATTTCAGCTTCAACTTGTAACACAACAAAATGTGGAAAAGTCGAGGGGGAGTGAATACTTCTGCAAGGCACTGTGAATTATTCCCTCCAAAAGAAAAGAATGTGAATGCATTCTTATCAAATTTTGTCTAATAGCAGCACTACTTATATAATGGAAGGGTGGTTTTGCCATAGGAAGGCTTGCATTTGATGATCTGAAAGGTATGCTATATCCATATATAGCCCTCATGCTATATCCATTCTTATGCAGAAGAAGACAGGGTTGCCAGGTGGTATGAATGTTAGTATATGCTTCCCTGACCTTAGACATTTTATAATCTGTTGTAATTTATTCCCTGATCCTCTTCAGTCCACCAGAGGGAGACCTTCTAAATTTAAAGGAAATCCAAGATTTTAAACATTGACCCCCAAATACCCTCCAGGTTTACCCTGGCTTAGTGAAGGATGATGCTGGCAGCCTTATTCATGACATGTGACCTGTCTGGAGATGCAGCAGCAATGTTTGTTTGTCCAAGTTGGTCCAAAGGTTGCAGACTGCAAATGAGTTCTATGGAGGGGGTTCTACAGAGGGTTCTATGGGGGTTCTGTCCATAGAAAGCCTTGGAGACTGCCACAGTCAGATGCTGGCAGAACACTAACCTGGCCCACCTCTCCCCCATCCCAAAAGTGGCAGGAATCAGGCAAATGCACAGAGTTCAAAAATCATAACGGACAGCTGTTGTCCACCCAGCTGGGCTGGCCTCCTTGAAGAAGAGCAAATGCAGTGCTTCTCAGCCATGGGGTTGAGGCCTGAAAGGGAAGGAGCCCCGCAGGCCCCATTTGTGCCCCTTCTTTTGGAAGGGCCCAAGGCTCCCCAGTGCCACTGAAAAAGCAACCTCCCCAGCCCGGTAAGTGCACTGATTTTTACTGTGACATGGTTTTGGCTTCTCTCGAAATGATAGCTTGGGTACTCTGTACATGCTAAGTAAAGCAAGGCCAGGTTTAGGTGGAAGAGCAGAAAAATAGAAGAGGACGTGGGCCTTGAAATTTTGAGGTCACTTCCTGGTTATAGCCGAACACATGATTCACGGGCATTCCATTTTTCCTGTGCATCTAGTCGACATCTGTCTGAAAACACCCACCTTATTATATTAGTTGCATTTTTCCTGACTTTGGGTTGTTTTACCATCAGTGGAGAAGGAATGACAAAGATGGAGACAGAGCTTATGTGCATACCTTGGCCAAGTACGCAGCATCTTGTGTAGATACTCTCCTTTCTTTAACACAATCTGTTTTGTTACCAAGTAGAAGGATGATAACTCCCTTCCCTGCTCCTTCCTGTGAAGAAATGCACATTTCCTCAGATATAAAGTGAAACCAAAAGGCCTCCTGTGAATCATATGATTGTAATAGAGTTTCTGCTGGAGCCATGCTTTTCCCAGCTTCTGACCATTAAAGGAACTACACTGCGTTCATTTTTCTTAGAAAACAAAAAGAGGGAAGTGGTATATTTTTGTTTCTCTAACATCCTTTCTTCAAGAGAATGCAGTCAATCTTTCTAATATCCTAGGCTTCCTTTAAGGTTGAAGCCCTGTATTTACATGCCTGGGCAATCATATCCCTTGGAATGGGAAAAACCATTACTATATCTCATTAAAGATAGTATGAATCCTGTGAGCTGCATCTTCATTGGTCCATTTTACAGGTGGTAGACCTGAGGATGTCTCTGCAAGATGCAATATTGCAAGGTACAGCACCCTTAACCACCCAAGTACAAATATTGAGTGGATATACTGTACGTTGTGCTTCTGCTTGAAGGGTCTGTTAGTGGCTGATAAAATGGAGATTATAAAAGCCAGCTGTCAAGCTAGGCTCCATGATGGGGGGAGGGGCAGTAAAGGGGACAGATGCCCCAGTGAGCCAAATATGGCTTGCAGTCATAGTGGGGAGGGGGAAACATATCAGTCCTGTCAAAGTGTCCACTGAGATACCTGCAGGAGGACCAAGAAGGCGGAGGCAGGGGGTGAACAACCCATGTCATTTGTTGGATGTAGGTTGGGTTGTGTTCATCCAAAACTTAACCCACCACGGGTAATCATGGGCCATCTCATGAGCCTATGAGATGGCAGTAGAAGCACGAAGGTTTCTACTTCGGCTGCTGAGTAGAAGACAGCAGTTCCAACTATGGAATGGTTCACTTGCCACAAAAAGCCATCCCCCATTTTTATTTATTTATTTATTACAAACATTTATACCCCATCCTTCCGACAAGCGCTCAGGATGCCCATGCTGGGCTAGTTGTTTGCTCCTTAATCCAGCTTTACTCGGACAAATGATTAGGCATTGTGCAACTTGCCATGGTTGTTTTTCCCTGTGGTTCTCTTGGAACACATCCCAAGATCTTCACTACATCAGCATCCTTTTTTTTTACTATCGGTACACATTGTGTACTGGGTATGTTTCACCCTTGTCAGCTCCGGAAGAACTTTCCTACACCCTCCCCTTCCTTGTCTGTCCTACCCCACCCTCCCCATCAGATGGCTACCTGTAAAGACTTTGAACCAAGTGGCTGGGGGGGGGGGGGGCTTAAAACCTGCCAGAGAAGCATCTTTCCTTCACCCTGTTCCTCCTCCTCCTCCACCCTCAGCCACCTGCAAGGAGGTTTCTGAGCTGTGAGAGTAAAATCTTCCTCCATGCCTCTCCTCACCAGTGGTGCTTTACGTTTTTGTTCAAGCTTTTGGCTTCCCTTCACTTCCTAAAAAGAAACCTCCCTGATTGCTCCTTGCAGCTGGGGAAAAGGATGTTGCTCTCCCTAGCCAAATTATTTTTGATTGACTTATCTCCAAGTGTGTGTACATGCACATGCACAGGCCCAGTTCAGGACCATGGTGACTTGGGAGGAGGACATTAACCTTCAGCTCCTTTTTTCATGCCCAAATCTCCCCTCTATTCATTTTGAGACTTGCCACCTTTTTAACTCCCCCCTTCTGGAATGGATTTTGGCATGAAGCATGACAAGGGAAGCTTCCTGAGTTGTCATGGCCCCAGACTGGCCACACACTTAAGTCAATCACACATACAGACGTAGCTGGGCTAGGAAAAATGTCTCCACTTGCAAGGGTGAAAAGCTGGTCACTGTCGAATGAAAGGTCAACTGAAGAAGAAGGGGATGGAGGAGGCAGTAGCACAAGCTGCTGCCAGGCAGAATTGAGCAGGTGGGATCACAAGGTGTGCGCTCTCGGTGAGCTGGTTTGCACATAATGAGAAGGCACCCTGCATGATGTCACCCTGGACCATCTCACTGCGATGCCCACCGTCATTTTGAATATTTGAGCTGCAGGAGTGGAGTACCGTAGCTTGCTGTTGTGTGTGACCCCAGTGGGGTGGATTGCTGGGGTAGTTGGCAAGCCACCCAGAACCCACGCACAGGTTTAGGGCTACAGATAACTGGTTAACCACTCCAGCAACTGGTTCGTACATAGCAACAAGCTATGATGTGCTCTTGCCATCAGTCGAACATTCAAAGTGGTGACAGACATGACAAAAGGAAGCTCCAAAGGGACATTCAGCCATGGTGCCAGTGGTGTGAATGTGGCTTGTGGATGGTTAACAATCCACGTTGAAGCCAGCCTGGCTGGTTCACAGCAATCTACTCTGAAGCAAACATCACACACAACCCAGTGCGGCTGGTCAGGAGTCAAAATCAGCACTATTGCCCGCTACCCAGTCAGCAGCAGTGTGCTTTTCCCTAGGCTGAAGCAACAGCCCCTGGGCTTCTGCCGTGATTCCCTAACAATCAGCAGGTCCTCTTTTGCTGTTCCTCAGTGGAAGTGATTAGTCAGAAAACTGCTCCTCAACCCACTGCTGGCCAGATTCCAGCCCAAATAAGGATGAGTTTATCCCAGAAGTAGTTTGGCTTGTGGGTTGTTCCCCATCCCCCATCCGCAGCTAGCTGACAAACAGGAGGTATGAACTGTTCTTATTTGTTATTTGTTCATGACACTGAACCAAGAGGTCAGGTTGTCTTGTGCTTAAAAACAAACATGCACACTGAGTTCCAAGCATAGCCCGATCACCGCTTTAATAATGCAGGAGTCCTGAATACAATTTCCAGCAAATGTACTTCAAATAGATGCTGCTATTATGTTATTTTCATGAGTCAGCAAAATATACCCCGTGATGACACAGCAATTGTAGTGGACTGCTGTGGACCTAAGAATATAGGAAGAGCCATGCTGGACGTATCTAGTCCAGCATCGTGTTCACAGTGGCCAGCCAAAAGCTCACCGGAAGCCCAGCGCAGGATAAGGCTGCCCTCCTGCTTGGGTTCTCCAGTGACCGGCACAGAAAGGCATATTGCCTCTGACACTGAGGTTATTATAGCCTTCATGATTAGCAGTCATTGGAGTTTGCCTCCTTCCATTTTAAAGCCACCCACACCAATGGCCATCATGATATCTTGTGGTAGTGAATTCCATTATTTAACTAGGCACTGCATCATGATGTAGTTCCCTTTATTTATCCTGAATCTCCTGTTGTTTAATTAGATGTCCCCGGGTGTTGATCCTATGGAAAGAGAGAGAAAATGTCTCCCTCTTCACCTTCTGCACACTAGGCATTACTTTCGCACCCCTCTGTTACAATACAATCCTTAACACAGTTACTAGGTAAGGAGTGAACCTATTTGGATACAGTAAGACTTTCTCCTGAGTAAACACATATGAATAGGACTGTGCCAGTATAACTATAACTAGTTAAGCTCTATTAAAGTCAGCAATGGCGAAGAAAATCAAAAGCGAATCAGCAATGTTTCTACCTTACCTGGATGCAATGAAGCCAGTATCGCACATTTGCAAAACTGTATTCTGACGTGATGTCATACATCAGCACCACTCCATCAGCCTTCCGGAAGAACTGCTTGGTGAGACTGTGGTATCTGTTGGAAGAGCAGATGTCCTTTTTCCACAACATTTTTATCCGTCTTCTCTTGCATGTCCATTTGTGTGTATGTGTTTTAAAATATCTTCTAAAAACAATGCCATCTTTTCCAAAGATGATTCCAGATGGTTATTTATGGTGCAATTCTATGCATATGCAGAAAGAAAATGTCCTACAACTTCTAACATTTAGCCATGCTGGCTTGCTTGTATGTATTCAGCATACATATGTATTGCTTTTATGTATGCAGAGGCCACCAAAAAAAAAAAAAAAAAACCCTCAGAGCAGTTTACACAGTACAATGCTTAAAATATTTTGAAAGTATTTAGTCTCTAATACTCTATAAAGTAGTAAAAAGGCGGGAGGGCCTGTGCAATTTAATTTTGATCCATGATCTATGCAGGCACAAACATGCAGTCATGCAAATCCAATAATAGGGGTGTGTCTCTCCATGCACACAGATAGGCAGTGAGTACAACTAGCCCTACTCATTCTGTTTTGCAATGACATCTCTATAATGTGTTGAGCCAAATCTTGGAATGGAGTTGCATAACCCCTCATTTCCACAACCTAATACCTTCTGTTCTTTTTAGTACAGATTAACTGTATATATATGACCAATGGAATCATCTGACTAGCCCTTTTCTGAAATACCACCAGTAGGAGTTTGTCTCAAAATTATCTAGAGCAGATCTTTGAGGCTAGCTTGCTAAAGTTTGTTAATTTTATATCCTGCCTTTCCACCAAAAAGTGCCCGATAAACAAATACATCCCGTCTGCTAGGTGTAACAGCTGCAGGAACAAATGTTCTATCCATAAATACTAATCAGTGACACAGATCTTGACTGTTTACTTTGCCTTCTTTTTTAAGTGTATATTTGTTTATTTTTAGATAATCCAAATACCCAACCGCCAGACATTAGCTCCTGTTTTTCTTAGATGAAGCACCTTACACTACCTTTCTTGGCCAACTGTATCCCAGAGACATAAAGCAAAGTACTTGTTATCCACAAAGAGGTGTTTGATCCGGTAGTCCATTCCTAGGAAACACAATGTATCCATTGACAATGTGTTTTAGTTCATGCCTCAAACAGCTTCAAGAACAGAGCGACACAAACTGGAGTGCTACTAAGCAGAACACGATACTGCACATCTCTTGTGTGCCCATTATTGACTTTCACAACAATTAATATTCTCAAGGCTGGTACTACAAACAGCAACTTGCTCAGCATTATTATCTACACGTTGCAGGCAGAAAACCTGACATGGAAGAGTGAATTTGGCTTCCTTTCATCTTACCATTAAATATTCTCTTGCATATTCCAAACAAAAACAAGCCCTGCAAAAGGAATACATTGAAACTAGAAGGAAAGCTAAGAGGAAATGAGCTAGAAATCCTCTAGGAAAGAGGGTCCAGGGCTCATCCTGTTCCAGTAACATTATTTTAAAATTCTACAATGCACACTCAGTTAAGAAGATGGCTACTTTCATCTTCTTGCATTACAGAGGAGCATTGAAGACATAAAAAGATAAAATTACTTTGAGTTCTACTTTGAGGCCTGCCATAGGAGCTATTTTGTCAACCCATAAAACTCTCTCAACCTTCAAAACATGCCCACTGACCCAAATGCGCCGAGGACTCCAATAATGGCCAATATTGAGCTTTTCTAAGAACACTTCACCCCCTGGTTTAGCATAGGCTTACAGAGGAAACTTAATGTCACTGCCATTCTTTTCTGTAGACATGCCCTAGAAAGGCCCAATTATAACAACAACAAAGAAACAGGCAAGCAGAAGCCAGGCTTCCTAACATCAAGGCCTAGTCGTTTTTCCAATGTATTATGCTTCCTCCCAGCATAAAATTATGGATTCATACCTACAGTTGAAGTCATATTTGCAATGAACGAACCATCTTGAAATCTGTGCAAAAAGGATGTTTTGCCCACATAAGAGTCTCCTACAAAGAGCACATTATACATATGGTCTGGATGAGAGCAGACAGTCGTGGTGTCTTTATAAGCTTCTTTGGTGTCATTTCCTTGGCAACTGTGATCTTCCAGTTTGTCATTTGTTTGTTCTCCCTTTTCTGCCCTGCCCTCTTGATTCTTCTTATACTCAGATACATTGGCCAATCTTTCTCCTCTGTCTTCTGATAACAGAACTCCTGTTCCCTCTGAGGTCCGCATCTCCATCTCAGATGAATTCCCTAATTGGCTGTTTTGGAAAAGTGAGATATTTGCCTCATGCTCATGCCTTTCATGTAACATGGGCAGAGTTTTCTTGGTTGGGAAATGAACTGATGGCATATCTTTCATGGGGGGAATCTGAGTCTCAGGAATCTTTCTTATTGGTGTTTGCATCTCTTGAGATTGCTTTAACATTCCCTTTTCAGAATCAACAGATGGACACTGATTACGACTTTCAGGTTGTATTACCTGCTCTAAAAGCAGAGCATCCCCTTGTAATGGGCCCTCCTTGTGGTCACACGTTTGCGTTACCAGCACTGAATAACCAAGAGATTGAACCACAGGACCGCAGTTTCTTCTCTGCACTGGCTCTGAACTTGAGACTTCCACTCTTGGCTCAAAAATGTTAGTTTGCTTCATCTCCAGAGCTGGTCCTCCTTTAAGAAGAATCTCTGCTTGCGATGTAGCATTGCCAGTAAGAGTTTCAGAAATCATCTTCTGTAGGCCATTATTTTTAGAAAGAACTTCATTTGGAGGAGCTCTTTCTGGCATAAGATTGTGCTGAGAATTTCCATTTTGTTCGAAGGGTTCCTGTTCTTGAGAGCCAAAGTCATTTATTTGTGGTGTGTGTGATTCAGACATTTTATTCATTAGTGCTATAGCCTCATTCAGCTCTGTAAACAAAGAGTTCTGGCCAGAAGGCTCCGGTGGGAAATAGTATTCTTCTACAACAGTCCCTGGCAAAGGTTCCTCTTCGATGGAAATCACTCTTGTTACGGGCTGTGAGTCAGCTTTGGTCATTGATGCCACATCATCAGGTGCCCTATGGGGAAATGATGCATAGGACAGTCCTTCTTTGGTATGTGCACACACACAAAGGGAAGCAAGACCTTTAAAAGGACAGAAATCCTGGAGCAAACAGATCACAGGGACTCACAAGGTGCAAAGCTGTCCACCAGGAGAAATTCAGGGCTTCATTTAAACAGAGACATAGTTGAGTATATTTATTTCAAAAACATACTGACTGAGCACATGCATGTGATGAGGGATGAAAAGGATAATGTGCTTTGAAAGGGCAATTTATAAATATTCATTGAAGGGAAATAGCACCAGGACATAGATAAAGCACCTATGCCTGGGATTTTCAAGATCAAACCTCAATGCCTCCACCTCTAGGATAGCTCTCTTTACCTGGTACTGTCCAGACTACAATTCCCAGCATTTCTGATAATTGGCCATGCTTGCTGTGGCTAATGGGAATTGGAGTCCAAAATGACTAAAGGGCACCAAGTTGTGAAAGGCTGCTCTAGGCAAAGGGCTTAGCAAGGCCAGACAAAATATTCATGTGCCATTTTATCTGGGGAAGAGACACTTCCCCTGCATTCCTCTTTACTTCACAGTAAGCCCTGTTGTACACAGTGGGGCTTACTTCTACCTAAACATATATTGTGCTGTTAGAGGGAAGTAATAGATTATTTGGCTGCCAGCCTAAAACTGTGCTTCCTAGGAAGTAAGTCCCACTGAACTGCAAGCTAATGTTGGAAGTGGCAAGGTGTTCTTATGATCATACCATAGAAAGTCTACTTTGGACAGGGGAACTTCCAAGTTCCTGTCAGAGAGGTGAAGATCAGATTTTGTGGAAGTGCTAATTGTCCCTCATTTAGGACACCAACTTTGAGTTATTTATTTATTTAGAATATTTATATTTCATGTTTCAATTAAATAATCTGCAAGGCAGTTAATAATAGATAAATCTGTCTCTCAGACAGAGAAAGAGAGAGAGAGAAACAGGTCCAATCTGTCTGTCTTCAGGAGTGGTGCACCATGAGCATGCTTCCAGTTTTCAAGATGCAGCACACCTGAACATTCATGAGAATATAGGGATGCAAAATCAATAGAGTAACTACCTCAGTGCCAAGTCAAGGTCTCAACTATACTGAAAATCCATTGCTATCCTTTCAATCCCCACCTCACATTGATGCCACCACAAATATATTTCGGTGCTTACTGATGAGCAGAGCTGTCCAGTATATCCTCACTCTGACTGCGTACCAGGCCCATCTGCAATTGAGAACTGAACATCTCGTCTGGATGGAGAAGGTCCTGTAGGGAAGGACCATGTAATGTTACGTCCATCTCTGAAGAAGACATAGCTAGGTCAACAAAGAAGAAATACCTGTGGTCTTTGAGGCATCTTCTCGGAGACTTCCTCCAGGGGTCTGTCCCTACAAGAGGAGGAAAAGATTCAGTCACTGCCACTTCCCCAGCCCATGTCTATGTGCAAGTCCAGTGGAAGCAGTGATCATGCCACACAATGAACGAAATAGCATGCACGGAGGATGGTAATATCAACCGTGGTGCAAACAGGAAATGAGTGTTTCTCAAGGGCGCAGGGAACGCAGGACTGTTGCACTGAATTCATGCAGGGGACGGGCAGGGGTGAAAAAGTGACATCCATTGGAAGCAGCATCTTGTCAAGAACGGTGGTTGGAATGGCATGCCCCCTTCTACCCTATTGCCATGCCCGTTTCTGCTGTTGGATTTTTTGCACAATCTTTCCTGGTAGTGTTACTGAACTCTTCTGCTTTTAGCTTGTTCTCAGGTCTGACTCTTATGGAGCTGCTTAATGGCTGCTGCTGGAAGCGGTACATTAACAATTCTAAGGATGAAAGCATTTGTCCACAATAGAAAGAAAACTGAGGCAGGATGGAGGGGGATTGCTGTCTTCTCATAAAGCAGAAGCATGGTTCATTCAACCCTGGAAAGCACCGTAATTATATCCCACTTTCTTCTCGATTGTACTCAGAGTGGGGCACTTTGCATTGCCCTGCATTTTCAAGACCACCCAAAACCCAAAGTTCTCTGAGCAATGTACCCAGGCAAATAACTAGTACAGAAAATCACAATGGAGCAATGATAATGAAACAATCAGGAGCAATGGGTAAAAATAATGCAGGACATTTTAAAAAAAAAAAAAAGACAGTAAAACCAGCAGCAAAAATGCAATGGTACAAAGATCTAAAAACATAGTTTCTAAAATGGCTTGTAGGTGCCAGGCAAGGCTCTCTGGGGAGGGCACATCATGGAGAAGCTATTGCCATGGAAAAGGCCAGCTTTTTTGTGTCCCCCTTCAGAATTCCCAGCTGGTCTCCCATCCACACGCTGACCAGACCCAATGCTACTTAGCTTCAGTAAGGTGCTTGTGCCATATGTTTTCTGCCCACACCCTGCACTGTTTCAAGGCAATTTCCCATACTTGTCAGATTTAGATGACACAACAACTCACTCTGCAAGCAAGCTATGAAGTGTGAGTTGCTTGTGATGCTTGTGCCCCACCCCACCCCACCCCACCCCTTTCCATGTGGTTCTTCCACAGTATCCTAGGGTCTTCCATGCCTTTGGCTTTCCTCCACCTAGCCACACAGACACTGCAATCCTTTTGTAGCTGCTGTAGCCTTCTTTCCATTTTACCCTTTTCTTTTCCAGCTGTCACTTTCTGTGATCTCTGAAGTGATGGCCCCTTCAAAATGTTCAGGTGGCACACCGAAACAGACTTCACTGGATTTAAGCCCAACATATAGATAGATTTATCCTAACGGGTCCCATAATTCCTTTCCCCTCATTAACAGCTCATTATGCACCAAGCCAGCCTTCTGATTGTTCACACTGCAAGGGGAACAAGTGCCTCAGTCCTAAATTTAGTGTTGCTGAGATTAGAAAGGAACAGTGATTTGCTTAAAAGGCTGTCCATGCAAAGCAGAAATGAGTTAAAAAGCTGTGTTGCTGTGGAGAGGGTCCATTGGCTCAAGATGAATGCTAAACACACAACAGTGGTTCACCACTGAGACAACTTTTACTGAGAACCTATTTTCCTGGAGGATCACAGTGAGGTGCCAGCCATCAGCTGAAGATGGATCAAGTGTCAGTGGAACACAGGATTGCTCCCCCACAGCGGCCGTATCCCATAAATACCTGCCTGACTACTGAGACCTGGGCAGAAGGTCCTTCTAAGGCAGCTGTCCCCCAAAGAGGTGAGAGGGATGGCAAATAGAAGAAGGACCTTCTCAGTGGCTGCCCCCACTTGTGGAATCAGCTCCCCAGAGAAATTCACCTGGTGCAGACACTACTCGCTTTTCAGCCCCAAGCAAAAATATGTCTCTTTTCTAACCATTTTAACAATAAATTTTAATACCAAATTTTAACCACTGATTTTTATGTTTGCAATAATGTATTATTTTATAGTCATTCCCCCAGTCATAACATATCCTGACCTATTTATTTATTAAAGTTTTGATGATAGTTCATTGTTTTATGGAACTGATCGTTTTTATTAGTTTTGTAGTTTTAATGTGGGTGTAATTTTAAATGCTGTGAGCTGCCCAGAGAATCCACTTGGAGTAGGCGGTGACATAGAAATGTCTAAATAAATAAACAAACATCAACAGGATTCTGTCAGTTCCAGTGTCTTCCCATTTATCTGCCTTACAGGAATTATTTATGTTTCTTACATGAAGATGGAAATGGGCAAATTCTAATTATATGTGATGGTTTCAGGTCCTCGTGTGAGTAACTAGAATTTTACCTGGTATTTTTGCCAATTGGTATTGGAGTGGCTGCTGGAGAATTTTGTGCAACAGTAGGATCTGTTGCAGTAGGATCCTGTCTAAGTAGGATCCACTAGATCCATGCCAATGAAGGTCTGATTTTGGCAAGGTGCGACCTTGTGGATCCATGACTGGGACTCACCTGCCTTGTTTGTACATCTGAGCCATTTTATCCTTCATGGCATCCAGATGCCTTTGAGTCCTTTGAAGCTGATGCAGGGTTTGCTGTAGCTGGTTCTCAAGGACACTGTTGGCTTGCTTGAGCTGCTGAGTTTCAGTACTGGCCACATGCTGCTTTTCTTTGAGGCTGAGAAACTGTTTCTCAAGCTGAGAAAGGGTTTAAAAAACAACACTGACATTGTTCTGAATCATCAAAAGCAGAAGAGTCCTTCTCGGCAAGCTAGACTCTTCTGCAGCTAAACTTCACAAAACTCAAAGACCAGGGGGAGACAACCTGGTCCCCTCCAGATGTTTTGAGTACAACTCCCATAATCCCTCACCAATACCCATGCTGGGTAGGAACCCACTGGAGTTCATAACAGTCCAAATTGCCTATTTCTTTCATATTCTTGCCTGAGTTAGTCCATCCACTTGCAGCAGTATTGCTACCACTTTTTAAATTAAAGACTCCTGTTCCTTTAAAAGGTGTAGGATGGGAGGCAATTCAATCGGCACTATCCCATCTCAGCATAAAGAAGCAGTGGTGGAAGAAGATATAACCACTTATTTTCTGCATGCCATAAGACTGATTATTAAAAGACATGTGGCAACCATTTTGCTACTTTGGTTTGGAAACTTGGAGATTAGGTGAATAACTGATAGCATAAAAATAGCCTAGACATATCTGAATATCTCCCAGGAAACTTAAAGCATTTTTTAAAAAGTATTATTATCATTCTAGAATGAACAGATAGTGGGAAAATATTTCTCTCAAGTTCACACATAACAGACCCCTCCTATATATTCTGAATTAGTTCCTAAGATGGATTTTCCTTAATTAACTATGCGCCAAAAGCCAAGAAAATGCCAAGAAGGGCCGAACTACCAGAGCATGATATATACAATCTTGTACTACATTGTGCATGAACAATTACCTGAAATTTTCATCAGCTCTGTCAAATAGGGCCACTGTTTGACAGCATCCATAGGAAAAATAGGGTTTTATTGGTCAGCCTACAAAGCAAGGGACCCCATGTCCAGCCTGAGCTGCAAGAGATGCATCCAGAAGGTGGTGCTGTTTCCTTGCATGAGCCTTCGCAAGAGGGCCTAGGGCAGTGGTGGTGAGCCTATGGCATGCGTGCCGCAGTGGGCACACAGAGCCCTCTCTGTCGGCACGCAAGCCAAGTTGCCCCAGCATCGCCCCAGCAGCCAAGCATCAAATAACAGTGCACACAGGGGCCATGCGCATGCTCAGAAAGGAGTAGCGGTGTCAGGCGATGATGTCATGAGCCACAACTCATTAGCCACGACTCGTCCAAGCTTTCTCATTGCCGGTCAGTGCACTGCCAAGGATATATATATGTTTCTATCATTGAAAGCTCTGTTATTGTGTTTTTCTTTTAAGACAAAAGATGTTAATGTATGAGTTGTTTTTTCTAAACTAAAACCTCAGCATTCAGGTTTTATCGCAGTGTTGGCACTTTGCGATAAATAAGTGGGGTTTGGGTTGCAGTTTGGGCACTCGGTCTCTAAAAGGTTTGCCATCACTGGCCTAGGACTACCCTTTGTTCTGAAGGCCACCACCAAGCCCCCTTGGGTCTCTCCCGCAGGAAGACCATGGTGCTGTGGAGGACTGAAGAACAGGTTGGAGTCGCGTGCTTCAGTCTGGCCCATGTCACACCAGCAGTGTACCTCTTTCTGCACACTGAGGAAACGCTGTATTTCCTGTTCCCTGAAGTCCAAGGCTTTCTTCATCTCCATGCTGAGCAACTGGTTTCTTGTTTTACTCTGCAAACGACAAATATGATGCAGCTAATTTGTATGGGTTTGGCAACTGAGCACATTTCTGACACGGGCTTCCCATTTTCATTTGAATCGGGCTTATAGGTGGGACCTGCAATAAAATCCCACAGTGTGGAGTGCTGCTTTGCAGAATGCCAGCCAGTCATGCCCTTGGGGGGGGGGCACTCCAACCCATTCCCACTCCTCTCCCCAGTAGGAAATTAGTCATCTGCTCAGGGAAAGCAGCCCCAGTGGACTCACAGGACTTATCTATATATAGACAGTGTGGGCGTATGAGAAGCAGTTTCGGTTTCTGCCTTCCACTTTTTGTGTTTGCCAGAAACTTAGGGGTCTCTATAGAACCCTTGCATTTCTGTCAAGTCTAGGCTGGCTCAATAGTAAACTGAGGAAGGGAAAATCCCAGATTTCATCACCACCTCAGCACCTCTCAAAGGAAATGGGCTGACCTGAAGAAAGCAAAATTCGTGAGCTACGGCTCTCTTGCCCTTCACCACAGACTGCTTCTCCATTTCTCCACCCACAAGCCCAATGCCATCAACTTCTTCTTTCCCTGCTCTGGCCTCTTCAGGGTAAAGGGACTGCCACTGAATTTCCATATTGCCCCAAAGAGGCAGCAGCTCAGTCCTTTCAATTTTCCCTGCCCACATATAAACTCTTCAACCCCTTCAAAAGAAAGGTATTTATGCTTTCGCCACAGTTTGGATCAGATAATTCTTCATTGCTGCCTCCCCCTCCCCCACTTGAATCTCTGACGCTGTGGATGAAAAAGATGAAGCATCTACACCTTGGAGCAATTGCATAGTATAACTACACGGCAATGTGATATGATGATGATGATGATGATGATGATGATGATGATGATGTCCACCCCATTAGCCACATAGTTCCCTGGGTGGGTACTTTACATGGGTGTACATGATGTAATCCACCTGGGCTCTTGAACATGGTAAAATTTAAAGCAAACATTCAGCACAAACCCCTTCTCATAAATCCCAGGAATTAAGCATGAACCAGCAGGGCACCAACCTCATTCTGCAGCCTTTGCTTCTCACTTTCTATTTGCTCTTCCATTTCCTCATACAGCTGCTGTACCTCCTTGTTGTGTTCAGCCACTCGTCTAGTGCAGAAGACCAAAGATGGAGACTTCGGACACATGTAGCCCGGATGATGCCGTATTAAACAGATACTGTGTTGCTAGCTGGTGCCACAGTGGACACAGGTGGATTCCAGTCTGCTCCACAGCTGGTTTTATGGGAGAGCTACTCTGGGCAACAGGGAGGGGTGGCCCAGCCCTTCCACACCCTTACACTGGACTTCTCACAAGCTCCATTGCCACAGCCATCACTGCCTCCACGTACCACTTTTGCCCCTGGATTGGCCACTAGGAAGATCCACACGTGGCTCCACCACCACCAAACCAAACCAAGGGGGGAATGGAAAGCCAGCAGCAACTAGGCTGGTGCCACAGTAGCCCCTGCTGCTGGCATCGGGGACAAGTTTGTCTAGTCTGTGTGAGGGTTAGCTCAGAGTTGGCACACCTCTGGGGAACAGAGTTGGCCTGGGGGCTTCAATTTGCTGATCTGTTCCTTACTATTAGCTTATCTAGAGATCAGGCAGGCAGTAGAATCAGTTCTGTTAGTAGACCTTTAGGTTGGGGTGGTCCAACATGTGGCTCTCAGACCACATGCAGCCCCTGAGGCCTTGTTCTGCAGCCCTCTTGCCCCTCAGAGCTCCCCATCCTGCCCCCCTACTAAGTTCGAATCCAAGTAATGACATGGGCATGATTGCAACAAACTCTCCTGAGTCTGCCGGCCTGTCACACTTTCTTCCTGCTGCTCAGGCTGGGCCACCCCAGAGAAATGGTCATTGTGCCTGGGCTGTGGTAGAAGGAGCTGCCTGTGCTCTCTGAAGAGATCAAAGGCCCACTAAGTGTTCTTTTTCACTCAGTTAGTCCTAAAAGCATCTTAAAATCAATTCTCCCTCATTTAATTATTAATTAAACATATTAATTATACATGTTAAAATAAATAAATAAATACATTGCAAACATGTTACTTAACAATATGGATATGCAATTCATTGTGTGGCCCCTGGGTTCCATGTCAAAGTCCTCATGTGACCCTCAAGCTACAAAAAGTTGGGTCGCCCTGATCTAGGTGATTCGCAGTAAATCAAAGTGGGTTCTCTGACTCCTAAGTGGTTAATAGCAGCTATGACAACTTTTTCTTCCTCAGTTAGTCTGCTAAAATGAAAGAAGCTCGAGGTAGCCTGGAACTGACATTTGCGTGAACGGCCCCTGAACGGCATCGCACTCCTGCCCTTGCCATCGTCCACTCCGGCACCCTTCCACTATTATTCCCTCCTTCCCTTTGCCACCACTGCATTGGCTCTTCCAACTGCAGGGCTCTCGTGAAAGCAGCCAGGTTGGCCAGCCAGGGTTCAGAAGATGCTTCTTCTGGCCAGACAGTTCTCCACAGGGCTAGTGCCCTCGGCAGCAAGGGAAACGAGGCTGCTTGGCTGCTCCAGAGAGCAAATGCCACATCGGGAGAGCAGCTTGTAGGGCTCTCTGGAGTGCCAGGTGGAGGTGGCGGAGTGGCAGCCTCAGTAGCCCCTCTTAGCCAAGGTGGGACGTGTGATGCAATTCACTGTTCCAATTCACCCTGCTTCAAAAAAGGGCCAGCCCTGCCTGCAAACTCAGTCCATTTCTCATACTAAAAACAGATTCCTCAGCTCAGAATGTGCTCTGAGATACCCTGTTCTTTCATTTTAAGTACATATCTTCTCTATCTGGCTCTGGTTGGTAGATCTTGAGGTTCTAGTAAAAAGCAACATGAAAAAGAAAAAAAGCGATGTCTTGAAGTCTGTCCATTCCTGATATAAAGCAGGGGTGGACAGAAGGTAGAACTCTGGGTAATTTGCAGTAGATGCAGAGGGATTTCTGACTTACAATTGTTTCACAGTTGCAGCAAGAAAATGAGTCTTCTCTCCCAATTATACTGCTGAAATTTAAGACAGCTTGAGGTAGCCAGGAGTGGACTTTTTGTACGAATGGACTGTGAGATCCATGCAGCTTTGATACTCAAAATAAATCTCTGGACTCAAAAAACTTTAATTCTAAGTGCATCAATCTCTGATTAGCAGGTCTCAAGTTTCCAGCAAAAAAGCAAAAAAGCAAAATAGATCCTGCAAGGCTGAAGTCTGCTAACTCTGATTTTTGCTACCTGAGATTATTGTCTTGCAGTCAGATATGCCAGAGGTTAAATAAGGAAATTTCTGCAGTCATTTGGGTCATCTACACCTGAATTACCCTTCACAAAGTCATATTCTCTTGAAATAAAAACATCAAATCCTTCCTTCATTTTGTATTCCATATTCCCTTTTCTTGGAGCCTTTCCTCACATCCTACAGTCTGTATTCATGTCAAAATCATTTTCTATACCTCAGTCTTGTTAAGTGACCTACATTTTCAGCATTAACTCTAATTTCTCTTTTTCCTGCTTAGCTTCCATGATCAAGTGTGTCATTTTGGCCAAGAATTCCTTCAGGTTTCCCAGCAGCTGAGGTTCATTTTGCTGCAGCTGAACCCACATCGTCCAGATTTCTGCCTTGCTATAAGAGAGAAGATTGTATTGTTTTCTGGTCAGTATTCTGCACAAAAAATTGCTCTCACTGAGCTCTCAGTGAGCCTCTATATCTAATAATCTATATCTAGTTATCTAATTTTTGTTTGTTTGTTTCATCCCCGATCAACAGAGAACAGTAAGTGTGGAAGTAGGAGAACAGCAAACCAATGGTGGCACAACTATTATCTGTGTCACTTTGATAATAGGTAGATAGTGGATCAAATGAAAGAGAGTTTAGGTTGGATTAACTGTTAGACTATGTATGCCAGGGGTGCAGAACATGAGACCCAGATGCCATTCTGGCAGTTCAGGGGTCCCTAGAAGGCCATGTCCTCTTCTTCGGTCTCCACAGTGTCCCTCTTACTGGTTGTTGGATCATTTCCTAGCTTTTGCACAGTTTTCTCCATTCTGAGAGATAGGGCTGCCTCTCCTAACCCTTGCTTACTGGCAATAAGAATTTTAAGATAAAATATGCTGACATTTATCATATTTTGGCCCTCCCCATTTGGCCCTGGTCACTTCTGTAATTCTCTGCAATGGAATTCAGATTGAACCTCAGATTGAAAGAAATTCTGCATCCCTGAATGTAAGCTACGGAGCAAGGTAGGCAGATCAAAGCCCAGCAGAAGTTCCCGGTGAGATTTTCAGCAAATTGGCAAAGCATTTCACTCCCCTTATTTAACAGTAACAAAGACAAGAAGGCTCCCTACCCCAAATAAAGCTGCTGAAAGGGACCTTAGGGGAAAGCCAGGAGTGGTCCTCCAAGTACATTCTTCCTGAGTTCCACCTGTGGCACAGGCTAACCTTGGTCCTCCATTCTGCATATCTCTATGGTTGGTAGAACTTGAGAATCTTGTAAAACTTGCAAAAAAGTCCATCCTACAAGCTTAAAGTCTTCCCGCCCCTGCAACAGAGTATGCTAGCCTTCACCAACTTAGTGCCCTCCAGATGTTCTGGACTTTAACTCCCATCAGTCCCAGCCAGCATGGACAATGGCCTGAAATGCTGGAAACTGTAGTCCAAAATATTTGGAGTGCATCAGATTGGCAAAGGCTGGCCTTTGTAAATTGGCTACACAATGCCCCCTTTTCCCTTCCAGGCCCATATATTAACTCAGGTATCACTACAATGTTCAACACAAGTGAGCTCTAATTCTCTTTCAACTATACCTAATCCCATTCTTGTCGGCTTTATCTGGTTCAGTACAAAACAGGCATAAAGTTATCAAGTTCTTACTCTTCAAAGATCTGGCCATCTCCCAATTGGTTTATGAAGGTCTCGAAGCAGTTTTTTTCCCTGCTGTCATCTTCCTCCAGTAATAAGCCTACAGGGGCCCTTGCCAATGCCCTCCTTCTCTTCCGATGCACCCTTGTCCTTGTCTGTGCACTTAGCAAGTGCCCTGTTGTGGGAACAGCGGTGGTCATCTCTCCAGGCGCACACGGCACAACACAGAACCGTTTAAGTCAACATTTGGTCCCCTGGGCCAAATAGCTGTCCACGGCCAATGGTGTAGTGGATCCAGGACTCACAGGGATGCAGCACTGCCACCATTTTATTAGCAGGGATACTGATATCATCTGCCATCCCCGCCCCCCCCCCCACTTAGAATTCCATGTTCCCTCATAGCTTAGCTGCAGTCCTCAAAGTACTTGTTGGAAAATTCCTTTCCCCCCGCCCCAGCAATACGTTCTTCCCTCTTAGAATGCACAATATTTTGGGGTGGCTTGGTTTTGAATGAGCAGTCCTGGCCCATTAGCTTGACAAAAGACTTGCTACTGGTGGAATGAGGGGCAGAATCCAATGGGATGCTTATGACCCCTTTCCTTCCTTTCCACCCTGCTGATTCCCTTCCACAATCCAGCCAACTGGGCAGCACAAGAGGAACTCACCACTTTTTGTAAAGCAGTCTTAGCATTTAATAGTTCCCTGGAGAAGCCCTGAAAGGAGCATTTCTGGAAGGGGGCGGGTTGGCAGTGTCCCCTTTTGCAAGCTCTGCTGACCTGCCTCCATCTAGCAATGAATGCTTCCGCTCATTTTGTGTTGTCCTGAAAGTGCTAAATCACCATTGTGCAAGTAGGAGGTGGGGCAGAAGAGAACTGGTGGAGCAGATACACCTGGTTGGACCCTGCCCCCAACCTGCTAAACTGGTTTGTTGATATGGATCAACACAGTTGCCTGAATGTCTGCACTCTCTTTGTGGGCATGGCTGTGGAGTCCTGATGAGCACCTACGTTCCACAATGTACCACTCCACTATGGTGGGTGGAAGGCATGCTCAGCCAAAGCACATGGAAAGGGTAAGCCACACAGGGAGTTCACTGATCCAGGCAACTAGAATCCATGTGGACGGTGCAGAGACCATTACTCCAACCCTCTTTCATTGGCAGTCTGAACCCCACAGATTCAAACAGAGTCTTAATAATAAAAAGGTGCATAGGCCTGTGGCCAAACTTTCATGCCACCAGCCACATCAGTGCTACAAGCAAAACCAAGGCATACTTAGCCTTTCAACAAACTCTTCGGTGGGTACGCAGCCCTTTCTGTCATCATCAAGGCCATCAAAGAGAAGCTCCAGCTCTTTTGCACTCCAGGGTAAGTCTGCCTCCAATTTCTGAAAACAGTACAAATGTAAAATTAGTCTCTTCTCAAGCAACTAGCAAGGAGGGCCTTACCGTTTCATTTGCCACTTTCAAGCCATCAGTGAAACCTTCCAGTTCTGGCAAATGTTGGTCTTACCAGGCAGATGACACCTGATACAGTGAATGGGGTGTCTGCTTCCATTTGCTGGCCCTGGCTTATTTTTTATTTTCTATAACTTTGTTTTAAATTGCCTTGTGCTATGATTATGCTGTTTAACTGTGATGAGCTGCTCTAAACAAGACATTTATATTGCAAGGAAGGGATAAATTTATTTAAGGAGTGGTAAGAGAAGACAAGAGAAATGATAAATAATATAATATCAAACAGAAAATAATTGGGCCATATTCACAAAGAGCAAAGGATTAGGTCAAAGAATGATCCAATATAGAACAAAATGTTGTCAGGAAGATTCACCATTAAGCCATTTTGTTCTGTGCTTCTCTCGGTAACATTAAGTGCAGCATGTGGGCCACAAAAGCAAGCAGCCAGCAAGCATCAATTTACCTGCATATCAGTTCGCGTAAGAAATCCTTTCTTGTCCGCATCATGCTCCTGGCAAATATTCCAAACCCTTTGCACGATTTCAGCATGGGATGGCTCCTCTTCAGGGACTGAATGTGCTTCCACATCTCCCTGTGCAGCTCTTGCCTGCTTCCAGTGGCTCAGCCCAAACTTTCCATCTTTAGCAAGCCTTCTCTGTCTCTCCATGGTGCTGCTACAGGTCTGCCCAGCTGCTTGGAAAGAGGAAGGAGAGGGCACTGTGAACGTTGGTCTGGTTTGGTTTGGTACCCTCAGATGGGCTGATATACACACAAAAAATCAACAAATGTTTTAAAAAATCAACTATTTTTGATATTTGGTTGCATAAATATGCACTTCACATGTAAAACAAAATAGAAAGCTAGCTGTACGGGTCCATGAGGTGGGAAAATGCATACAACCAACCAAAATGCCACAGAAGCGTGTAAGCGAGGTTGTCCAAAAAGTGCCACACAACCACATCAGAAGAGGAGTTTCTTCCACCTGAACAGGGACTTTGCATGGAGGGTTCCATTCTCCCCCAACCAGTGGATATTCTTTGCAATTTGGCTTCAACTGTCTTTAACAAGCCCAACACGTAAAATTAACAGAGTTGTGCTTTCAGAAACTGAGATTGTGCCTTTCTGTTTCTCCCCGAATGTATTGCTAGGTGTCATCTGATACCTGCAATGCCTACCACTTACTGGTTCTCTAATTTGAGACAGGATCTAAAACTTCAGATTTCATGGCCACATCAGGCTAGATCTTTCAACTTGGCTATTTCTTCCCTTGCTTTTTTATCTGAGTCTGAAAAAGAGCTCTGAAGAACCCAGAAATGCATGTTCTTTACAGTGCCAATCAGCCCTAATGAAGGTATTGCCCAAGTGCGGATCTGAGATTCCCCTCAAAATTATCATGAATCAGTGGCAGATAGCTTGCACCAATTGTTCAGTAAATATGCATGTTTTTATGTACCTACTGTATGCATTTATACTGCCTTTCTGTCACCAACCTCAGATGCTCATTTCTACTCCAAACCGAGCCTGCAAGGAGTGTCAGGAGCCCCTGGAATTATACCCAAGAACAGATGAAGTTGTGTGTCACTGCCTATCCTGACCACATGAGCTACAAGTCAGAACTGGGGCAGTTAATGTTTCCTAGGCTTTGGGCTGATTCTGCCCACCAAGGCTAGTGATGCTTTCTTATGAGGGTGACTCCAAATTCTGAGCAACTGTTCTGTCTTTTCCTTCTTAACAGGTGCTTTATGGAAAGAAAATGAATGAAAGAAATGATGAGAAAGGCTTACAAGTGTAAGGTGTTAATATGTGGAAATCCTATAAAACAGGAGGCAAAGGGTTGGTATGATGAAAACTTTGTACCATTAGAAGATCAGGATGGGCCTTTCTGGCTCCACTTCCATCTTTAGGTAAAGCCAGGGCTGGCTCAAGACTCAGTGGAACCTCTTAGTCACTGCGGAATTTATTTTGAGAGTCTTAGGAGTGATCCATGGTGCTCCATGGTGGAAATCCTATTTGGGGGATGGAATTCAGCACCATGGATAGCTGATGACCCAGATCAAAGCTGCAGTGGATCAGGAGCCCTGCTGACAGAATGGTCACCAGCTTACTCTGCCTACAGCCCAGCTCTGACAAAGCAACACAATTTACTAGGGACAGGAAAGTATGACAACCACAAATTTGTCCTGTGTTTATATTCCAGCCCATTCATCTCACGGCTTAAAGGAAGCAAAACTAGCCTTCTGCCTTCCCATTGAGGAATGGCAGATTGCAAAGAGCAGGGAGGGTAAAAACCTCATTCTACCCAAGGAGCTGGAAGGCTGTTGCCAATCAAAGTGGGCTCTAGGGGGCAACATGGCATAGTCTGAACTGCCATATTCTTTAGGGCTCAGCTCCCAGCCAGGTCTGTCTGGAATGGGGAACCTCCAATTGGGGAATTGATGCATATAGTTCCTGACATACATCAAGACAAATGTTTGTGCATGCTGACTTTGGCATTTCCCCCCTCATGGCTGCTGATGCATATTGTTAAATGCTGTTTGGAAGGCAATTGTGTGTTTCTAGCATTTTTAAACCAAAATAATCATCATTATCATCCTCATCCACTTGACTGCTGAAGTAGAGATTATTGCTAGGTATGTGAACACAAAAGACAGTCGGGAGGGGATGAATCTTCACAGGCCCTCCCTTGAGATCAGCTTCAGGCATCTTTCTCCAGGTGCCTCCAGCAAATGAGGTTCAGCAGGTGGCTACTGAAGCCTTTAAGTGGTGGCACCTGATTGTGCAAAACTCCTGTGTGGCCCCTATTTTGTGGTCAGTTTGGCAGCAGGCAAATACCTTCTCTATTTTCTCATAGAGTGGTTAAATCTTTGAAGCTATAATCCTATATTCACTTATTTTTGAGAGTTAAGTCTGCTTCTATTTAAAGCTGCTGCATTATTGCTTTATGGTAGACTGTGATGTTTTTGATGCTATAAGGGTATAATTCTGTGTTTCTTTATAAATTAAAAAACCCTACAATTCTCAGAAGTTTTGTAGGGGAAATTGCTGAGAAAATTATCCTTGCTACAAGAACAGAGGTTTTTCATGCATGGCTCTAATGAGATCTATGAAAACTTTGGAAGTCATGCAATACCTGATGGCTCAAGTGACCCCTTTTATTAGGCTAATGATGTTGGTAGTTTAGGAAAATTAAACTTGCATTCATTTGTTTATTGTTTATTTGAAGTAGGCTTATGCCACTGCCCAGCCAATTTTTCCCCCCCCAGAGTGGCTTGTACATAGCCTGTAAAACAAGACAGTGTGTACTCACAAGATTACAGGTCCATGATGCAAGGAAAAAGGAATCGGGGAGAAGAGGGAGGAAATACAGTCTTTCATCAGGGCTGGTGGAATGTCCCCAGTTCCTCCTCTCCTCTCATTCTGTTTAGATGACTGCAGTATCTGGCAGTGGTGCCAAGTGAGAGAAAAGGAGCCTTCATGGGTAAATCCTTCGGCAGGCTTGGTGGCATTTCTTAAGAAGTCTTCTTGAGAAGACCTT